GCCGTCCTTCAGAGCACTGTGTTGGTCGTGGGGCATTCTGTCTCCAGAGCATTACTTCTTTTTTGCTGAAGTTGCTTGCCCTCAGTTCCCAGTTCAGCTTCCTGCTTTCCTTCCCTGTTCTGTTTCTTCTTGAACACACAGGTCCAGTTCCAGGCAGTTCTACATCCCTGCTTCTTCCATTTTGAACCTCCTGCCATTACCCAAACTCTGCCATTCTCCTCCCTCCATTATGTTTGCCTTGTTAAAACAGGGGTGGGGGGTTTCTATGTAGCCCAGGCTAACCTTGAGCTCTCAGTCCTCTTATTTCCCCTCCCCAGTCCTGAGATTCCAGGGGGTACTCCACCAAACCCAGCAGCTCCATTCTGAAAATAAAGTTCAGCAAAAATTTATCATGCCCCTACCCTTTATAAGTGCTAGGAAACAGAGAGAGGCTGGGCATACACTTGCTATCATGTATGATGCCCTGGGTTCAGCCCCAGCACTGATTAACAAACAAGCAAACAAAGGATGCAAACAGATAAACATGGAGACAAATAAGGCAAGATTCTTAGCTGGAGGTCAGTAGCCCCAGGCCTGACCTTCTACCACTGTTCCATGTAACGTGTTGTCCCGTCATTTCTCCTTGTACACCCAGCCTTTTCATTGTTTGCAGAGTCCCTGACTAGCTCTGAACGCCACTAACGACAGCATTCCCACCTGCCCTATGTTCCAGCCAGCTTGAAGTCCTCACCCTTCTCTTCTGCCTTCATTGTTACTCTTACCTCCCTCAGCCATGCCTGTCTTTCAAGGATCAGTTTGTGGGTTCCTCCTTCCCCATCCACCCCCGCCCCCAAACACACACCAATATAGGAAACAAGCATCCTGGTCCAAAATCTCCTGCCTCATTGCCCCCGGTGACACACATGTGTAATCCCAGCACTTGGGAAGTAGAACCAGGAGGTTCAGAATTCCTAGGTCTTCCTCGGCTGCATAGTGAGACTGAGCCATGGGTGGCCTCCATGTGACCTGGTTCCATAGAAGCATTATAGGGGTTGATGAAGTGTGACTCCAGAGCAGGCTGCCTTGGTCAAACCCCATCTCTGTTAATAACTAGTTGTGCAACCTTAGCAAGTTAAATAGCTTTCTGTGCCTCGGTTGGTTCATTTGTAAAATGGGAATATAATAGCACCTACCTGGAAGTTTTGAGAATTAAGTAGGTAAATGTATGTAGCTCCCTAGATTAGCACACTGGTCAATGTCAGTTCATGAAAGTATTGCTGACCATTAGCCTGTGCTGTGTGATATAACCCGTCTATATGCATAGGCCTGTCGATGTCACCTATTTGATAATGTATTGAAAGCAGGGTCTGCATTCAGCTCCTGTGTGTAGCCCAGGCATTAACAATTTAACTTCATAATGTGTATTGACCATGCATATTATATGCCCAGTATAAAGTTGCTGTGACTCTAACATTTCCAGCAAAAACAAGGCTATATTCCTAAACTGTTGCCATATCCTTCAGCACCTGGCACAGTAAAGCATTTGCTATTTTCTGCCTCTTCTTTACCCTCAGGGCATGGCTGTTTCTATATAAAATTGTAGTCAGTGATGTTTTGACCCTGAACTTGTCATTTCTTAATGTGCCACCAACCAAGTCAGAAGGAGAAACATATTCCTTTAAATTTCTGAACCAGCAAATAAATTGTTATTTTTTCACTCCCCCCATCTCCTGAAGTAAATTGACCAATTCAAATTCATACCTAACGTAGTCTCCTCTAATTGAATCTACTACTTAGCTATATTGAGATCTGTAACACAGTTATTTCTCCTCATAATCAAGGAAATAAAACTTGATGTTTATATATGCATGTCCCATGAGAATAGCTTGAAATTGTTTACAAGACGTTTAACCTTTTCAGAATAGTAATGATTTTGCTATTGTAACTTCACTGTGGCTTGATAACTGTAGCCTGCTCTGTTTCAAATGCACACTGTGTATCTCGTGCTTTTAAAACACAGTGGAGCAGCGGAGTAGGGAGCACTCTTGTAAGTGTTCCAGCTTCCCACTTGTAAAGCCCTCAGTTTGGCCTGACACCTTTGGCTCAGTACCAAAAGCTCCTTCCCTCCAGCCTGGGCCTTCTGTCCTGGGTGTGATGTGTGTTTGTGTACACAGACCCGCATTCTAGGCTTTTCCTTTGCCTCCATGCCCAGGCAGTCCATGTTGCCTGTCGGTGTCTCTTAGATCTTTCACCTTTACACCCCATAGACACTGCCTGCACCTAGCCTTTCAAATTTTCTTGGACAATGGCAGCGGCCCCTCAACAGGGATTAGAGCACCTGAGGTCAGGATTCTTCAGTCTTGAGGCAGTGTGCTATGGAGAAACAGACCATGTACAAATGGCTCTGTTTACACTCCTCCACTGACCATCCTGCTGGTGAAGGCAGCCCTGGGAGTGGAGGGTGGAGTGTCTGTGTTTGAGTTTTACATAAGTGCTTACTGTAACACTATCTCAGGAGGAATGGTGCCGCCGTGTGCCAGACACATCAGTGTATAGACACACGTGTTGCTGAGAAGACCGAGGAGGCGCCATAACAGGCTGCTCCATCTTCTCAGAGATCAGGCCTCAATTTCAGTTTCCTGAGACTTGAGCAAGCAGTTTCTGAAAAAGCCACAAAGGGCGATTAATCAATCTCCAGCATCCCCAACAACAAGGACAAGGGGGCCTGAACCACAGTCAGCAGGTAACCAAATAAAGACGAAGCCAGGCCTGCCCCAAAATGGAAAACTGTAGCCCTGACCAGCCCCTAATTAGCCCTAGCCAATTAGAACATAGTAATATGATTGCCATTTGCTTAAGTCATTCCTATCTAAAATGACCTAATGCTCTAGGAACTCCCCTTGGCTGTGCTTAAAAGGAGCCTGTGAGCTCCTCCCAGCATTGTCACCATTTTGTCTCTGTGTGGGACGGCAGCCCAGTACACTGGAATCTTTCTCCAGATAATAAATGCTCTTGTTGATTGCATGCATGAATGGTGGTCTTTTGTGGGACTTTTCCAGGACCCCAACACTGCCCCTCTCTAGAACCAGGTGCCTCGTTTACACAGGGCCAGCCTTCCTGCTCCTTTCCCATCTTCACTCACGTGTGCCTGGGTGTGAAGTAGATACTATATGTTCACTCAAACAATCACCCACAGCGTGAGGAATCATGTCTGGTCTTTGTCTCCGTCCTTGTCGGCACGCCTTCTGTTCCACCTGCCCTGGCCAGCACCCCATCCCGCATGTGCTGACCATGCTCCTCTTGGAGCTCTGCTGTCCACTTCACATCAGCACCAGTCAGTGCAGTTCTTGGCACTCTGGTTTCATGTTGATCATTCTTACAGTTGAGTGCCTTTTGTGGACATAGAAATGAGCTTTACTCAGTTTTGAACCCAACTTAGTACTTATGCTAAGGGCGCTCAGAACATACACAAGGGAATGAATGACTTGTGAGGATTAAATGAGAAGTCAGATACACATAAAGCACTGAGAACCAATCTGGCATATGCTCGGTGTCTGACTGGTGTTAGTCAGGGACCCTGTGCTGTATGATTTTACGAGGGAAGCAGACACAAGGTGGACAGTCTTTACTTCCACATAGCTTTGGAGGAGAAAAACAGACTTTTTGGTATTTCTGGGAACAATAAGTGCAATGGAGAAAAGGAAAGTCAGGTCAGAAGCTGACAGCAGTGCATTAAAGGTGAGGGTCAGAGGTGGTCCCAGCTCTGTCCCAAAGCAGCTTTGGAGTGGAGGCATGATAATCTCTTGACCAGCACAGCATGAAAAAGTAATGTTGGGTGAGTTCCATGGGAGTCCATCATTTCTGGAGTGAATTGATGGGACAGACCGGTGGTCAGAGCCACTCACGACAGAGTGGAAACGCTATGACCTAGGTCACAGGTGAAATAGGACGGTCAGGACTTTTGTCCTCATGGCTAGATGGACAGGTGAATGAAATGGGTGGTTTGAGTGTCTACATTACATAAGTGCCCTTTCAGCTTGCAGCATAGTGAGTCCAAATTTCAGTTGTGAAGTCCACAGTTTTGAAATAGGCTAAGGAGTATTGGTGTTACTGATGATGCTGCCACACTCAGCCAGCGCTTGTGAAGGCAAGCTAGGTGTTCTGTGTTGTTCAGGGCCTTGTTACTAAAAGTGGATGCCCCTACCAGCCCCGTCACTTCAGGATGGTTTAACTTAACATCAGGAGAGATAAAATTTATTTCTAGAGGCTTTTTTTTTTGAGACAGGGTTTCTTTGTGTAAGAGTCCTAGCTGTCCAAAGGACTCACTTTGTAGACCAGGCTGGCCTCGAACTCACAGAGATGCACCTGCCTTTGCCTCCCAAGTGCTGGGATTAAAGGCATGTGCCACCACTGCCTGGCTCTAGAGGCTTTTTATTGTGAGTTTTGAAAACTGCTTTCTAGAATCAGAAAACAGCCCACAGAAGTTTCTCGTGTTTCATGTACCCCAGATTGTGTCCCTGCAGCATGCAGGCTGAGCGGCTTGGGACTCTAACATAGTTATTGGGCTATGCAGTCCTTAGTTGGAACCTCTGTTCCTAGCAAAGCTGTGTGTTGCAGCCTGTTACATTGGCCCGCCTCTGTGGAAGCTGTTTAGAAGACTGTACCTCATGGCTTCTGTTCCACTCTCCAGATCACTCTCCCACCTGTTGGTCTGGCCAGCCCCCTCCAAGTCTCAGCTTTGGTGTTATTTGGTCAGAGAAACCTTTCTAATTCTTTTTTTGTTTTGTTTTGTTTTGATTTTTGAGACAGGGTTTCTCTATGTAGCCCTGGTTGTCCTGAAACTCTATAGATCAGGCTGGCCTTGAACTCAGAGATCCGCCTGCCTCTGCCTCCCGAGTGCTGGGATTAAAGACATGTGCCGCCGCCGCCGCCACCCAGCTTGAAACCTTTCTTCTTGACACTCTACCTGGACTGCATTATGCATCACTGATGCCACCCTCACATTGTTTCCTCTTTTTCAGCCATATCATGTCTGAATATGGGAGGATGACGGACACAGAGCGAGACCAGATAGACCAGGATGCTCAGATATTCATGAGGACCTGTTCAGAGGCAATTCAGCAACTCCGAACAGAAGGTGAATGCTCTGAAAGAAGCCAACAGATCCTATGAATGTGCCAACCAGTTAAACTGCTCATGGTGCAGCCACTTATGATCCCCTTTCTTTCTGAATGGCATTTAGGACTTCAACTTTAAAAATCCTTCCTTCCTGGTCAGTCTTCTAAGCTGTTCAAAGTCCTGAAAAGACTGTCACTCAAGTTAAATAAATGGAAAGGACCTCTCTAAATAGAATCTGTAACCTACCAAAAGGCCAAGGTCAAAGGGAACAGATTGTGTGTCTGCAAGCATTTGTGTATTTGTGGAGACATGCATGTGTGACTATGTTCTGAATGGCAGGACAGATGACGTAAATGTGGCTAAGTCAACCCCCATATGAGACTTCGTGATTGAGAGGAAGCTTTGCATCCATGACTTGAAAGCAATGCACTCTGGCTCTGCTACATGCTAGCTCTGTGGCCTTGGGCAAGTCGCTTCATCTCCCTGGGCACAACTTCTCCATTGAAACAATACAGACAGGAGTTAGGCATATCACTTAAGTTCTTACAGCATGCTTAGAACCCTGCCTCGTACTAGGGGCCTAGTATTATCTCCCCTTCACTGGGCTTCATCCCCATAGAGGAGCTAGGCTTCCCAGCCATGTGTCTTCCTTGATTTTTTAAGCACATGCATTAATACTACAGAGGTCAAAATTGCCAAGTACTGTTGATCTCATGACTGACTTCTAGTGGAGAAGCTTCTGAAAGAACATGGGATCATCCACTGGGAGAGTCTTGATGAAAGCTTACCAGAAAAATGTGCATCCCACAAAATTATGTGTGCAGCATTGCAGACTACCCAAATCTTCATGTGAGTCCCAGGTTATATGGCCCTCTAGTAAAAACATAACCTGTGCCCCATACATACTCTTAAGGGCATAGGCATTTGTGACCTTCAGCTACCTCTTGCCTCTGGACTCAGTTGGCTTACTTGAGGTATTTCTGTGATGTCCTAGCATCATGCCTACCCACTAGGCACCCAGCCTTTCCACCGAGAGCAGGGTCTTACCATAGGAACTGGCACAGGCGGGCTTCTGTGTGGGAGCCTGCCCTTGTGGCTCATCACTGTGAACAGTTGTTGGAGAGCAGGCTAGTATGCATAGTGTCACTCGGTGTCTGAAGGGAGAAAGTAGTCACTGTAGGCTGAAAACAGCGCAGGCAGAGGGTGTCTGTGGTCCAGCATGTGTGATTTAAGCATGTCACTTGAAGGTGAACCTGAGCACTGGATGCTGTTAATACAGCCAGGTCAGCATTCCGGAAGGAGCTGGATCAACTCAGCTCCCCTGGTGCTGTAATAAGCTATAAATTATTTGACTGCAGTTTCAATAGGTTTAATCTCTCACCTGGTGAACCCTAGTAAATCTTACTCTTAAAAATGTAGTTTCACTTGACACGAGGCTGGTTTATAGCTGGGCTTTTGAACATGCTTTCAATGAACAGCTTTGAGGAAGCTGACTGTTCTGTGGAGTCCTTGAGCACAGACCTGAGTGCTGCCCTTTTCTCTTACAGCCCACAAGGAGATACATTCCCAGCAAGTGAAGGAACACAGGACCGCAGTTATGGATTTCGTTGAAGATTACTTAAAAAGTATTTCATTTTCTTCTAAAGGTCAAATGTGGTATTTCATAAGAGATGCAATTTAGAATAGCTTTGCTAGCCGAAGACCATAGTGTCTCATTAGTGTTAATGATACCTTTGCCTGAGAAGCCATTTTAAACGGTCTCTGTTCTGGTATTTTCTGCTTCAACAGGAGTGTGTAAGCTTTACTCTGAACAAAGAGCCATCCGAGTTAAGCGTGTGGTGGATAAGAAGAGACTGTGAGTATTTCTGCCTTTGCCCTTCCTTCTTGAGTTAAAATGGGCAGCAGGACTGGCAGCCTGAGCTCCTAAAGCACTGACTCTGTGGGCCTGTGTGCATGAAGTCTGTACCATATGCTGTCATAGGGGCTGAGGACATCCTGTGCACCAGGTGGTACTGGTCACTCTTGTTAGCCACAGCAGGCTGTGAGGCAGGTTCTCTCTTTCTTTTCCTAATGACACTGAGGTTCAGCGGGTTCTAAACTCACGTGACCCCCACAGTCTCATGGCAGCTGAACTGGTATTGAGCACTTACCTAATTACTTTTTCTTTTTGGTTGGGAGTAGTAGGGAGACAGTCTGGCTATGAGGTCCATGCTGGCTTCAAAGTCATTTTGCAGCCCAAACTGGCCTTGAACCCATATTTTTTCTGCTTTAGGATTCAGAGTGAGTGGGTTACAGGTATGTGCCACCCACCCAGCTTTCCCACCCTATTTCTTAATAATCCTATGAGGTGGGACACTTGGAGCTATTTGTCCTTGGTCTCTGCCCCCCCATACCTTCTTCTCTGAAAGGGTTTCCACAGTGACCATGCTCCCCTACGTTGCTGACAATATGACATAATATATTCAAGATGCCATGTACACTGAACTCCATCCCCACCCCAATACCCATTTGGGCATGGTACTGCCAGTTTGCCCAGGGAGGGCCTAGGGGAGCAGGTTCAACTCTGGTATTGTAGGATTAGCTGTCAGTATGGTAAGGAGACCAGTCACTGGCTCTCACAGCCCCAGGAGGAGAGGCGGACATGTCTGCTGCAGTGTCACAGGTGGAGACAAGAAGAGGCCTCAGCACACTGCAGCCTCAGCCCTGCTTCTCAGCAGAGGTTTCCTCTGACATCCACACTGACAGCAGTCGGATGGGAATTGTACAGTGTCAGTCAATCACCTGCCAAATAGCTGCTCTCTGAGATTACCCCGAACAAAAGACCTTTGAGACCTTGAATAACTGTAACTCTTCACACTGTGGTCCAGCCCTGTCCTCTTAGGTTTGTCCTTCTCAGGCAGGCCTTGACTGCTGATCCTGCTGCCTCAGCCTCCCAGATGGTGGGGTTGTAGAACTGCGGGCATGTGTTAACCACCCTGACTTCTTTCTGGTCTTTCTTCATCTTTACACACAAGACATCTTCTTAAAACATACATATAATTTATACTTAATCTTATGCCTCTCTTATGCACAGGTCTCACCAAGGCCAAATTTGGCAAACTCAAGGCTGTAATGACTGTTTCATAACTTTTGTTTCTAAATCAGTCCCCAGTGACATCTGCTCTGCCAGGCCTGTGTGTGACTTTGTTCTAAAGGAGCTTTGCTTTCCTTGTGCCCAATTCTTGCTGAATTCTCCATCCATAGAACTTTTCACATAGTCTGCTCTGTCCATCTGGTGGACAAAGTCATACTCATCCTTCCAGCCCAACTCAAGCATCACCTGTCCTACGACGTGTTCCAGCTGCTGCCACCAGTGCTGTGTCTCCCTTCTACTAGGTTCCCCATTGTTGTTCACGGCCAGAAGCAGCACGCACACTCATGCAGCCACCATGGACTTGTATCTCCTCACACCCCTCAGCCCATGGCGCAATGCCTGTCCCTTGGGGAGGCCGGTGGGTAGAGTGTGCGCAGTTGTCATTGGTGGGTTGTTTCTGTCTGCTGTTCTGTTTGGGTTGCTGATGGCTGTCATTCGGAAGTTGATTTGAGGAGTCCCGCTGCTCCTGTTCTGTGACGTTGTTGTCACTATCTCGCTTATCTGTCTGGTGAAGGAAAACATACTTGTTAAGGTGCGCCTTGCTCACCGTAGTGTCTTAAGAGTGTGGGTGTGGCTTTTGTTCTTGTAGAGTGGACATGTCACATCCATCTACTGTACCAAAGTGCTCTTACTTCAAACTGCTGGAAATATTTTGCTCATTAAGCCAGAAAGTACTCCCAGCTGACTGCTCTGTCCTTTCCTACAATGGCTATGTTGTCTCTAAATGATAGTGCTGTCATTAAAGGTACCTGTTTTCATCTACCCTCATGGCATTTTGCTTTCTGAGCTGACAGTGGTACCTGCTGCATGTTGCCTCAAGCCAGAGAGGGCTAACTACCCTGGGCATCCCATCTCTTTGCTCTGTAAGACTGTAGGTTCGGAGGTGAGGCCCATTGTCTTGCGACTTTCTGATCAGAGCACTGATCAGAGCCTGCTACAAAGTAGATGCTCAGCCATTGGTTCCTGACTGAAGGAGACATCAAACTGGGCATGGCGGCTTGCTCCTACTCATAGAGTTACAAGGTACAAGCTTACAAACTAGAAATACGTGGGCCAATACTGGATGAAGCCTTGGCACAAGTGGCCTATCATACATCTGCAGAGGATTTTCAATCCACCTCTTTTCCTCTTTGTCTCCTTAAATTTCTCGTACTTTGGGGTGATTGAAGCTGAAATGGTTATCACACACTCTGGTGGTAGGTACTCTCATAAAACATCTGAGCTAATCAGAAACATACTCTCTCCAGAAAAACAGCTTGTGTATCATTGGCCCTCTTTCCCCTCCTCAGTCAGGAGGAGGCTTTCGGGTAACCCTCTGAGAACAGAGACTCACCTGAGACCCTTGTCTGCTGGTGCAGAGGTACCCTCCATATTGTGCAATGAGTGCTGGCTTTTGTTTGTGCTTTCCAGCTGACCTGCCTCAGATATGGTGGTTCAGGGCACGATTTGAACCCTTCACTTTTCTGCGACAGTGTTCTTAGGAGTGGAAATTTTGGGGAGCATTTTCTGTCTGAAGGGAGATCAGAGAAGAATGAAAGCTGATGACTAAAGACTATAGCTTCTTCAACTACTGAGCAGATTACAAAACAAGGTTAGAAAGTGGATAACGCTGCAAAACCTGCCAAGTTCATTGGTGTGTCTTAAAGCTGTATTTTTAGCATCCCCCCACCATCACAGATCCTGAAGATGAGAGACTTTGTGAAGGTATTCAAAAGTCTTGGTGGCCCAAGTAAAGCTTACTCCTACAATGGAGTCTGTTGTTGGACTAGAGGCACGCTCTGTGTCCAGAGACCTGTTTGCATGGGCTCTGTGTCATGATGACACTTTCCAAAAGGGAGCATCAAGCCCTTCTCCTGCCCAGGTCAACACACACCAAAGACACTGCCGTGATCCACAGCCACACAGCCCCTTATATTCTCTCTTCTGTGTTCTCTGCTGTCAGCACAAAGGAGGGGGTTCATGCTGCTTTTCTTGTTCTTTAGAGAAGATGTTAGTGCTCATGTGATGCATAGCATCACGTACTGAACTAGTACCTAAAGAGTCTATCGTTTATGATTCAGCCCTCTCTCAGCAGGATTGTTAGCCTGCTGCAGGCCCTGACTTAGGGTCATGCACATGGCGAGAGCTCAGCAGATGCTGCCAGTGTTTGGAATGGTCATAGTGATGGAGTTAGAGAGGAAAGGCAGAGATGGCATGTGATATGAGGGCCACAGTGATGATTGTCCCTCGTTTACTGTCTATGATGGGGCCTTGTTGGCTGCCTAGAAAAGGGCGGAGCAGACTGGCCTGTGGGCCAAGTCTAGACTTTGGCCCATTTTGTATGGCTTTCCAGCTAAGCATGGCTTATTGTGTTTGAAAAGATCTGTAAACCAAGAAGGAAGAATACGACTTAGATCTTGAAATGTTCACTATCTGGCCTTTTCCTGTGTAGACACTGGCTTAGAGCAGCACCCCCTGACATGAAGGGCCACCTCTTTGTAGTTTTTGGCAGTCTGCCAGGGACTGATGTTAGTCTCCTGTGCATGGCAGGGTCACAGCTATGCCTCAGGTGGCCTGCCACAGAGGTCTGATGACACCAGTGCTCTGTACCATGTTCAGTGAGACAAAGGCACTGTCAGAGTGCTGTGCGTTCTCACTTTACTGTGGCAGGCCAGGAATAAGCAGTGTGGACTCTGGTACCAGTCAGTAGACCATACTTTCAGGAACACTTACTAAAAAAAAAAAAAAAAAAAAACTTCCCTGGGAAGTGGCAGATGCCCAGTAAATACCTGATAGGTGAGTGACTGCCTGATGGAGCACGCGGCTTTAGGTAGAGTGAGCTGACTTCCACTCTCCCTGTGACTCAGAGGCTTCGGAAACTCAGATGCCGCTTTGGAGTAGGGCACTGTGACGTGTATACTCTGCCCTCTGCATTGGGGTGTAACAGGCAGAGAGCAGTCCTTCTGGAATGGCGTGGTTTCTCTGTGTTTGCAAAGTGTGCTTCCATGCTTTTTATTTTATTTTATTTTTGCTTGCTTCAAAACAAGAAGAGCCGCCTCTTTCTCTCTTGTTCTTTTACAATTTCAAATACAATCCCAAGCCTTCAAAGTCAGGGACCTGTATTGATCACAGTTAGATAGTACTTGACCTTCAGTTTGAGAAGTACATACTTATGCTGAAGTATAAATCAGGGGACATAAACTGATCTTTGTGGTGACTCTTTCAAAAACTGCTTTTACCCCAGGTTGCCTTTAGCTAGATAATTTGTAATTTCCCTAAGGATTTCAGTAGACGTTCTGTATATAATTAGAATCTGTTTTTATCACCTTACAAAAGTGTTCATCTTTGTCTCTGTCTGCTTCTCTGCAGCCCTCTATTTATTTTACATTGAAAACTGGCACTGCCACACTCAGACATGAGGGTGATGGGCATTAAATGAATGTTCATCAAGAGGCAGGCAACCCGTCCCCTTCTGAACCAAGCAGTCCTGAACCAGGAGATGGGGAGGGGTAAAGGTGAGTGTCTGCTGCTGAGGAGGAGCCCTGCTGCTGCCCAGGGTAGGGGGTCAGGGAGGGCAGTGGTCATCCAGGCAGTGAGGGCATGCAAAGACGGCTAGATCCCCTCCAGGAGGAGAGGTGGCGGTGGAGCCGAGGGTGTTGGCTTCTCCAGGTGATCCAGCAGCTGAGGACACACACACACACACACACACACACACACACACACACACACACACACACACACACACACACGTCTTGGTTTCTAAGTACCACTTCCAGGTTGGAGGGATGAGGTTTCGTGGAGAAATGGCCTATTCTTAGACTGGATTAAGGAAAAGTGTGCAATGAGCTGTATCAGAAAACAAGGGAGGGATTACAGAACAGTAGGAAAGTGTCTGATGGTCACAGCGGCTACCCTGAGGGGTTTCTACCAGCCACATTTAACATAGAGTGAGAACTGAAGGAAAGCAGCAGGTGTAGCCCGCTGAGTGAAAGAGGGCATCAGGAGTCCACCTGGACAGGAGTAAATTCGTGAATGAATAAAGGTTTGAGAGAGTTATAATGTCAAGTGTTTCCCCTGGCTTCTTGTTGACAAAGAGGAAGAAAAACCTTATAACGAGGAGCCCGACAACCACCGTGTCAGTCAAGGTGAGTCACACACAGGCTGGCAGATGCCCCTGAAGAGCATCAGTGCTTCTGTGATTTCTACCAAGGCATCACCAGGCGTCAGCCACAAAACACCAGGCTTAAGTTCAGAGGCATGGTGGAGTGTCAAGTACATGGAGCTCAAGGAGAGTCCGAAAGAAGCATTCCAAACAGATTAAAGAAAGCATTCGTGGGTAACATGATGCAGGATTCTGACCAGGACTCTGACTGTACAGGCTATGTTGGTCAAAACGGAATCTTCTGAGGAAGCTATGGGAGGAAGAAATGCCTGTGCCTTTTCTGGTTGTGGTGGTCACATCGAAGCGCACTGCCTTTAGGGAGCGTGTTAAACATGTAAAGGTGGAGGGCATCGGGTTGGAACTTCCTCACTGAGGGAGTCTTTATACTTCAAACTTCTCTGTGTGTGGTTGTTATACAGTAACATTTAAAACACAGAACACCAGCTCACTCTTGTCAGACACCCAGACTAAAATAAGGAATGGACGTGGGGCAGCCAGAGCCTCCTAGGTAGGGGACTGAGTCCACAGCGATTATGCATTAGAAATGGCCAGCTATGATAATTCTCTGAAGGTAAATGACCAGCTCCTGGTCCCTATGCCTGGAATGTCCTTTATGTCCTTGTGTCTGCCAAAGTCTTACTCTCTGTCAACATCTTCAGTGATTGCCACCCTGTGAAGTTCTCAATATTCTATACTCGTAGTTCCTGAAGAACTCAGAAAGCATTTGCATTTTAGATATCTAATGCTGTCATTTGAAGGCTAAATAACAGCATCCGATATATAAATGCTTTATTTAGTATGCTGACTCTGTTACTTAAGCATCCCAGGGGAACTAGTGACCACACAAGGACACTCTTATAGTCCGTTTTACAGATGAGAAATCAGACCAAGAAATGTCAAGACACTTGTCACTTACCAGAGGAAAATACTGAAAATTCTGATTGATGGGTATTTTTTTTCAGGCTAGTTTGAAAATTGCCTAATGTGTCAAGCTCCTCAATTACTAAATTACAAGACTAATTTGACCCAAAATGTTAAGTAGTATCTCATTTTATAATTGTATTAATACACTTAATGCTAAATACAGACTAAGCCCTGTTTGTTTCTTAAGGTTTCTTTTGAGTTTGTTTTTTGCAGTACTGGAATCAAGCCCAGGGCCTTAGGCATGCTCATTGAGCACTATGCCTGAGCCTTCTTCTTTATACATGTTAAAAAGATTAACCATGCTGATGAGTACTATGGTGCTCTGTGAACCACACACCATTGCCTTACCTACTCTCGTGTTGGTCGGCATGGGATTGTTTCCATCTCTTTTCTGTACAAGTAAGTCTGCTGTGACTGCTTGATTGTTTTGTGTGGATGTACCTTTTCCTTTCTCTTTGGTAGATGCTTCAAAGTGAGTTTTCTGTGTTTCAGTGGAGACATTGTTAGATTTAATAAGAAACTGTTCCAAGTTTTCCATGGTGGTAACAGTATTTTATAACCATCCAGCTATGTGAGGTTCTGATTCGTCCTCATTCTCCCCAGGATATAGATAGTGTGGTTCAAACGTGTTTTAACTCTTCCTGTGGGTGTGCAGGATCATCTCACTGTGGCTTGGGTTTGTACTAACAACTTGTTCATATGTGTTTACCAATGACTTCTATATTTCCTCCAGAACATCTATTCAAGTCTCTCATACACTTTGTTATTGAATCATTTCCTTTTGTTGACTTCTGTAGGAGTTCCTTCTATGTCCTGACATAGGCCCTTTGTGAGGTCTCTGCTGTGGACAGTTGTCTCCCTCCTCTGTGCTTTGTCTAGTCAGGATCTGAATGGCATAGCCACTTATTCATTTAATGTTGGTTAAAGAGACTTTCTTCATGGAGCTGACAGAACACGGACTCTGGAGCTGGGACCCTAAGGTCTTGTCTCAGCCTAACTACTGTGTGGCCTCAGTTCCCTTCTTTATAAGAAAGGTCATTTAATACTAGTACCTTCTTAGAGAGATGTTTTGGAGTTGGATAAATTTGTCTGCATTTATCCTCATAAGGTGCTTAGAGAAGTACTTGGCACATCATAGGTGTTTGGCAAATACTAAGTGGTGTGTGTAAACCAGATCCAACCAGCATGAGTTGACTTTACTCTTTTACTCACAGTCTGGCTAGCTAAAAATATCATGGATCTTTTCAGCACCCTGCCTGTAAGTTTCATATAGGTTTTAATAAAAGCTATTATGGTGCATATTGTTTTATTTTGGTGATTGATTGATTGATTCTTCTGTCTGCACATTGTAACCTAGATTGTCATAAAACTTCTGGCAGCAATCCTTCTGCCTGTTTCCTGAGTGCTGGGATTACAGTCATGCATACAGCCAAGTCTGCTTGGTTCTAAGCACATCATTTTAGGACGAGTTTTTCTCCTCTGTTAGCCATTTACTAGTGTTTATAAAACATTCATTCATTCAACACGTTTTTATTGATCACTGTGTTAGTTAGATTCCCATCACTCTGACTAAATACCTGTGACAGTCAACTTAAAAAGAGGTCAGTGGTCATGGTGGTGCCTGCCTTTAATCTCAGCACTCGGGTAACAGGAGCAGGTGGGTCTCTGTGAGCCACCTTGGTCCCATAGCAAGTTCCAGGCCAGCCAGGACCACATAGTGAGACTCTGGCTCCAAAAATTAAAATAAAATAAAAAAAGGAGTTGAACGAAGAAAGTCTATGGGGGTCCTGGTTTTGGAGGTCTCGGCTTGTGAGAGCTTGGTCCTGGGGATGCAGTCCATGACAGAGCACATGGCAAAGGAAGCCTGTTTGCCTCATGCCACCCAGTTGGAGAACAAAGAAAAAGAAAGTGTCCCAGTGAACACTTCAGGGGCACATCCCCAATGGCCTTTCTTACACTAACCCTACCTCTTGAAGCTTCACTCAGTAAAGCCATACACTGGACCTCAACAGAGGCCTTTCGGGGACCTCTGTAGAACTCAGCAGACAGTGCATGCAGGCACTAATCCAGTAAGCAGCACACACAACTCACAAAGACACAGACCCACTCTAAGGAGGAACAGGAGACTGCTTGCTATGAAAGCTGGGGCCTGCACAGATGGCTGGGGGAGAAGTGTTTGCTGTGCAAGTGTAAGGACCCGAGTTCAGATCCCTACCACCCATGTACAACCTGTAACCTCAGCACTGGAAATAGAGACAGGTAGTTCCTGGGGTTCGCTGGCCAGCCAGTCTAGCAGAAATAGTGAACTCTAGTTCATTGAGAGACCCTGTCTCAAATAATGAGTGGAAGCCAGGTATGGTGGCGCACACCTTTAGTCCCAGCACTCAGGAGGCAGAGGCAGGCAGATCTCAGAGTTTGAGGCCAGCCTGGTCTTCATAGTAAGTTCCAGGACAGCCAGAGCTACATAATGAGAACAAGATAACAACAATAAAAATAAGGTGGAGAGTTCTAGAGGAAAACTCCTAACATTGACCTCTGGCCTCTATGCATGCACATATGAGTGAATGCACCTATGCACAACACACACACACACACACACACACACACACACACACACTCATACTCATGGTTCAACAAGATGGCTAAGCAGGTAAAAGCACTTTCTGCACAATCTTAATAACCTAAGTTTGATACTAAGAACCCGTGTTTAAAAACAAAAGAACTCACCAAAGAACAGATGCTATAGCACACTTATGTAGTTGCAGTCTCCTGCAGCGAGATGGGAAGTGGAGACAGGGACATCACCTGGACCTTCTGGAGAAATGAGAGGGACCCTTCCTCAACAAAGTGGAAAGAGAAGACCTGCTTACAAAAGTTGTCTTCTGACCTCCACGTGTGCACTGTGTGCCTGCAGATATACGTGTGCACACACACTAATGAATAATGAATTTAAAAAGAAAACCCGAAAAGATCTTTAGGTAGCAGAGATTAAACACGCACACTATGGGTAGAAAAAGAGACCACACCATGGGCAGAGTAGTTTCTGAAAAGGTGGGAAGAAAACTAAGTGCAAAGGCTTCCTAGCTCAACAAGCTGCTAAAGACTTACACTTTCATAGGTAAACTATTTTAAGATAGTGCATGTGTGTGCATGCATCCATGCGTGTGTCCCATGCATGTGTCTTTGACAATACTTTTACGTTAGTGTAAAATTACTGGATTGCTGTACATACACTTCCTGGTGTGGTGTCTCCAGGGCAACCTCAGAGCATGCAGATGCTAGGCACCGAGCTGTGGCTGAAATGCAGAAGGCAGTGTACCACCAACATGGTACCTTGCAGTAAGGTATGAAGTGTCCATGTGACTCCTGAGGCCCAGGAGAGAGACCAGAGCAAAAATGCACAAGTCACACATGACCCTTTCTGTTGTCAGAAAGGATCCTGTTTGGGAGGTAAAATAAATAACTAAGAATTTGTGTTTAGATCTAAGCTGGAACCTGAGCCAAATACAAAGAGGAAAGAACCCCCATCTGAGAAAGCCTCACAGAATGCTTCCCAGGACTCGGAAGAAAAGCCTGCCACCGAGGAGTTGCCAGGTATGAATGAGGATAACGGTTTTGTTTGGCACTTGGTCCTTCTGACCTGTTGGCAGAAATACAGAGCAGCAAGAGGCAGCAGTTCCTGACTCATGCTGTGAGCACAGCTGCCCAAAGCAAAAGAAGCGTGAGCGGCAATGCTTAGTCTGGGGAGTCGCCTGTTCACTGGACCTGAGGAAGGGCTGCTTTCCTGTGCACCAGCTGGAGATGAGGAGGCACTATCCCAGCTGTCCGCTGAAGAGGGTATATCCCGCCACAGTGGAAGTCTGCACTGGCGCAGCCAACCGCTCTGCCCCAGGGTGGAGCATGCTTTGTCAGTGGCCTCCATAGCAAGGCAAGCCCTTGGGACAAGGTGCAAGTATGGGTTTGTGTCTCTTGTCATCACAGATACAGTAATGTCCCTGACAGTGCATGTCAAAGAAATGCAGAGTCTCCTTCAAGTCTGAATGTCACGGACTGTTTGATTATGTGTGCAGTCCATGTGTGCCTGGGTAGGGACACCTGCTCAGAGCATTGCATCCCTGAGGAGTTAGCAAGCAAGCTGGTTTCACTGCCTAGCAGTTCACTGAAGCCATGAGGCCTGAATGTCTTATTTGCCATGTTTGTGGCTCTACATTGCCTCACCTCACTGCAGCACTGGAGTGTCATGAGTCTCTTTTATTGAGAAGACTCTGAAAGGCTCAGAGCCTGGGCTACTTGTCTGAGGTGAAAGCTCATAAATGGTGGGTCCAGGATTCACTGGTGTGTGGGTTTGGCTCTCAAGCCCACCTCGATCTCATTTCTTAAGTGTTTCCCATGCACCATGGCTCACCAGCCTAGAGGATACCAGAGGTCCTTTGTGCAATGAGAATAGCTCTTTTGGAGCCCTTATGCCTCACGTGCTGACTGAATCACAGGCCAGACTCTCATTGGCTCTTTGGGGTGTGCACTATTGTGTTTTGTGGTGAAGAAGCCAAGATTCAGAGGTTATATAAGAGCTCAAAGCCCAGCACTGAGGACATACAGCAGCCCTCCACATGGGTGGTTCTGCTTGCACAGTCTCAGCCTATCCCTGGCTGGTAGTTGCTGTGGTCTAGCAGGCAGGAGCTCTGTATGTCTCCTGTGCCCGGGCTTCCTACAGTCCATGGGCACAGCTTAGAAGACAAGACAGGGACATCATAATTAAATTTACTGAAGCTGGACACAGCATCTCCATCGTCATTCACCTACTCAATAAATCCTATGCACACTGGTGAGGTCAGGGAAAGCCAATGCCGACTGAGAACCTCTAGGAAGTCTCATGGGAAGATACCAGGTCTCACCACTGACCTCAAGCCTACCATGGCGTGTTATTCCAGGCCTTGGGCTGGGTGTTAGGGGTGTCATAAGTGAGTGGAAATGGCTCTTCTTTGGGCTCATAGGGAAACAAGCGAGATCTTTATACTGACATCCTTCCATTGTGGTGGAAAGCACAGTTGGAAAGCAGTGTTGTTCTAGTGCTCTGCCTTAGAGAGACATGATCAGCTTATCTTCTGACTGTTTTGAGCAGCATACAGGAGACACAGAACATGTGATGTGGAAGCACCTGGGCCCCAGCACTCACATCCATGCTCACATGCTCTGCAGGCTTACACATGGGAGCAAGGAGATCAGGCTAGTTACTGGGGCTTGCTTTTCAAAGGAGGCCACCAAGAAGTGCAAAGACAGCCCGCTGAATGGAAAACCATTTATATTGTACCACATGTCTGATAAGGGACTTCCATCCACCTGATGGACACAGATAGACCTCTCAACTCAAAGTTGGAAAATGGGCAGAGGATCTGAAGGGCAGTTCCTTTTTTTTTTTTTTAATTGAAAAAAAAAATGCTCATACAATACATTCTGATCATAGTTTCCCTTCCCCCAACTCCTCCCAGCTTCTGCTCACCCACCCAACACCACACCCTTTCTCTCTGTAACAAACAAACAAACAAACAAACAAAACAGTATGTTTTTAAAAATAAAGGCTGGGCAGTGGTGGCACATACCTTTAATCCCAGCACTCAGGAGGCAGAGGCAGGCAGATCTCTGTGAGTTCGAGGCCAGCCTGATCTACAGTGTAAGTTCCAGGACAGTCAGATCTGTTACACAGAGAAACCCTGTATTGAAAAAATAAAAATAAATAAATAAACACAAGGAGCACACACAAATGCAAAACCCATAAAAACATTGAATGAATGGCAGTTTCTTAAAGGAACATCTACTCATGACAGATAAGCACTTTAAGAGGACCCAGCACCATCAATGATCAGGGAGCACATGCCAGCTGCAAGGCACCTCACACCTCCAGAGGGGGCAGCATGGAAAAGGCAAACCTGGTCCTGGAGGAGGAGAAATGGGGAGGTGTACCCATACAGCCCACATGCTGAGGTAGAGTTTGGACCTCAGCATGGTAGGAATACACTGGGCATTCCAAAGCTGGAGTGTGCCATGGTATGGCTTACATCTGCAAAGCCTGGAAACAGCTGAGAAGTGGTGTATAAGCTGGCAGGCTGGACAGGAATCTCTTACAGCAACCCAGACAAGACATCTGCCACCAGGGACCACCCCTACATACACACCCAAACTCACATGGAGCAGAGTGAGGAGTGCTCGAGTTACATTTGGAGGATGGGAACACTTAGTAACTTACAGCCTTGAGGCCGAAGAGCTGCTGGGCATTGCTGCCTGAGGTGAGTGCAGCTCAATGTGCAATCTGGCAGCAAGGTGGGGGAAGGGACTCCACATGCGGGCCTACAGAGTTGGGCATGAGGTGTCCGCTGGGTGTGCAGTTTTGATGGTGGAGTGAGCAGAGAGGGCTTAGGACTAGGAGCTTGGAGGACCCTAGAAAATAGGCAGCTTGGAACCATGGCCTGGGTGCACCTCTGAGGAGATGATAGAGAGGGGAGAAGCAGGCCAGGCTGTCTAGGGAAAGGCCTGCATCCAGCTTCCATGCACTATCTGTTTTCCTGGCTAGGCTCTTCTTCCATCCCAGCCTTGGTGTTGACAGGGAAAATCTTCCGCTACAGCCAGGTGCTCTCTGTTGTCCCTAGCTGTGTGTCTGCTCTTTCCTCCATGGCTGTGTGTGGACATGCACTAGGTTTTCTGTAGGAACACTTTTCAAGCCTGGCCTGTGCAGATGTGTCCTTTGCTTACTTTGCCTTTCAGTATTTATTTCCTTTTGAAACCTGAGATGCCGCTTAGACAGGCGTGTTCTGGCACAGAACAAGGTGGTACAGCTCTAGGCAAGAGTTGTCTCCTGTCTGTCATACTCCCTCTGCCATTTGGCACTTGCTCATTTAGCCGGCGGGTTTGCACCTCTGTTGGTTGGCCTGCCACCCCAGCATGAAGGCCTTTTCTGTAAACATTCTTCCTGGCGAGGCTGCATCTTCATGTCTCAGTGTAAGTTGTTTGCCCATCTTGGTTTCTGGGTATTCAGATATATTTCTCAAGTGAGCCACTGTTCCTGCCTCTGCAGAGCTCACTGTTGCCAGGGAAGGTGGGATACCAGCTCCTGGGAGGGAGTAAGGAGTATCCTAGGAAAAGCAGATGTGGGGACAGCTGTACAGAGGGTCCTGAGGACCTCAGGAAGTGGTAACCCTGAGCAAGTGAGTCAGTACCCCCCAAAAAAAAGAAGCTTAGAAACTTGTAGGCAGAAGGAACAGTTAGAGCAAGAAAACATTCAAGGGGCCAGAAATCATGGAGGCCCCTGTGGGATGTAGTCATTAAAGAAGACCCTCGCAGTTAGTGAGGAGCTGTAGGAAATATGGTTGCAGAATGCCCGGGATGCAGGTGGGGCATCTGGCTCTGAGTGGTTGGCACAGTATTCTTGAGCACTGCACTTGAGGCTGATTCCTGAGGCCCGGGTCAGGAGGGCTTCAGGTGGCATACAGTTCAACCACCTGTAGAGTACAGAACTTCTCCATCCTGATGCAGGTCATTCATACCTGGACCCATTATGATGGGGTTTATGTTTCTGATTGGTTTTGTATTCAAAGGAGAAAGGGAAGAAAAGTCTGAAATAGGGGCCATACTGAAGCCAAGCAGGAGATCGACGTCACAGGGGTGTGAGTGGTGGCTGACAGCACATGGGTTCACACCCAGAGTGTTGCCTCGGAACAGTGCCACTGTGCCTGGGGAGTCTTTGTGATATCGATGTGTATTTCCTTGTCTGTAGCTCTGTGTCACCTGCCCTGAGGTGTAGGTGACTGTTTGGGAAGATGTGTTTCTAATAGTAGCTGCGCCTGTCACACAGGGTGGGCCTGATCTGCCTCCCCTTGACTGCTGCTGTTGTGATGTTTCCTCTGATGCTTTTCCCCATCAGAACAGCCTGAACTCTCCCTGCCCCATGGGGCTAAACTCAACAGGAAGAGAGAGGAAAAAGATGCAGCATTTCCTTTGAGTTCCTGACACAACCGTGATAGAGCCCAGGGACACGGAGACACACAGAAGGAGAGTCACTCTGGGGACAGATTTGTCCCGGTCTCTACTAAGCAGCCCTTGCCTCCATCAGCTAGCCCTACAACAATGTGCAGGCTGTAGCTGCTGCACCGCGCAGCAGTTCTTTCTAGGCACGGGTGCTGTCGAGGGGCATTGTGTGCTCGCCTGATCATGAGCAAAAGGCTGTCTAGAGTAAAATGTTCATATTCTAGGGTAAGTGGCTGTCCTAGAGAAAGACTTCAACTGTGTGTGTGGGTGGGGACATGGAGCTGCTGCTGCTGCTGCTGCTGCTGCTGCTGCTGCTGCACATTAGCCAGCTGTTCAGTGTGGACCATGCTGCAGAACCCCACTCCTTCTGCTGTCTTCCTGTGCCTGTTTCTTCAGCTGCCTGTTCTGAAGGAAGAGCTGGCCTCCTGTCTTTGTCCACTTTATGGTTTTGTTTCTTAACAGAAAAGCCTTTGGCCGAAGCACAGCCTGAACTGGGAACCTGGGGCGATGGCAGGGGTGAAGATGAGCTGTCTCCAGAAGAGATACAGATGGTAATGCTAACTGCTTCCTTCAGCTGCCTGACCTAAGACCTTCAGTGAGTGCGAGGCTGTGCAAACGCCCTTGCCCTAATTTGATACTGGGCTTTAAACATACAAACACATTTTACATACACTTACCCACTTAATATCTTACTTCCTGTTAGGATTGACATGATTTCAATGGACAGTAGCATAGTAAAACAGAAGTGAGCTTGGTTGGTCTTGCTAAGCGTCTTCACCAGCAGAATAGTAGGCATCCAGATTAAGTTAAATGAGTCTTTTATATTTGCCAAGATGTTGTTTATACTCAGTTGAAAGCATAGTGATTGATGACCTGTCCCATGTTAAGTGCTGTTGTTTGTCATCTCAGTCATTTCAGGGGACAGGGCTTGGATGAGGATCTCCTAAATGGCAGCCCCTGGCTGTGCAGCCATTGACAATGAGCATTCTAAGACTCATCTCCCTGGATCTTCTTCAGGCTGCAGTATTCACCATCTCCTCCTGCCCTTGGCCAAGAGCAGAAATGCCCTTGTCAGCAAGCCCCTGCTGATAAGAGTGGAGCTGGGTTCCCAGCCTCCAGAGACTGAAGGAACCGTGGTAAACAGAGGCTCTCCTGTCTAGTAAGGATGGGCTCTGGCCTTGGCTCAGCCCTCGACTTTCTGACTCCTCTAATGTCTGCAGTGTAGCCTCCTGGAGTCCTTTCTGACTTTATTCTGTACCTTCTCTACTGTGCTAGCGCCATGTGAGCAGGCTCCTGGCTCACTGTCCTTGCCTTAGTCCCAGGCCAGTGATTAGGAGTGCTTCTAAGCAGTAAGTGACTGATGGACTCTTGTGAATGGTATACAGAAGGCCTGTCCACATGTCTGTCTTCCTCAGCATCAGCTGCCCAGCCCAGGTGACCAGCTCAGAGCTTTTGACTCTTCAGATTCCCTGCTCCTCCTTGCCTGAAACAGAAAGTTTTCCTTCCAGAAAGTAGCATAAACATGTGAAAAGCAACATGCCCTCTCACTGCTCTCAGTGGCAATAATGGCTGCCTCCAGGAGCTGATGATGGAGAGCTATCCCTTGAAGGACAACTGTGAGAGGACCAGACACTTGGGATGTTTCTGACCTGAGCGGTCAGGAGAAGGGCAAACATAGGGCTGGGCACTGGGGAACAGGAGATGATGAATTCCATGTCAGACAGCCTGGAAGTGCTGTGGACATGGTAGAAGGTGTGGGCTGTCATAGGGCCTAGGGCTTAGTCTAGAGGCATCTTCGTGCTGGAGGACCATGGGCTTAGAGGAGGTCCTCGAGAAACACTGTACAGGGATGGGACAAGCCATGAGTGTTCCTTGGGAATGCTGCATTCGAAGCAGGCTGAGATGTAAAAACAACAAATGCGTTTCAACACAGTTGGATTGCATTCCCTATCATTGGTTTATACAAAAGAACTTTGCTAGTGGAAATGAAGAGGTATATTGCCCCAAATGTTGCAAATTTGCTAGAGCTAATGTGTACTACTCAATCTCTTCATTGAGAAAGGACACTTTTGTTGAGTGTAAGCAGACTTTAAATGTGTGCTGGACCTCACTCTTTTATGTCCCATCATTCTTCATAAAGGAGATAGCCAGAATATTCAACAGGGGTTTGCCAGAGGACTTTGTCTTTCTCCTGGAGCAGTGATGAGCCCCAAAGGTCTGTTAACCTTTGCAGGCACATGACTTAGAAGCCACTGGCAATGTGGTAGGTAGGCGTGAGGAAGCAATAGTCAGGTGTCTGCCATCTCATGCCACAGTCCTTCTGAGATGATGGAGAACAAGGGCTCTAGGACCAGGCAATCAGCTGTGAATCATCCTCCTCCTCTCCTCTCACTAATTGTCTGCATAACTTGGGAATTGAATGAGCCTCAATGGACCTCAAGCTGGTTACAGTGGATGCCCTGCGGAACTGTGGGGAGTCACAATTGAGAGCCACTCAGCACAGCCAGGGAGGCCGTGTGCACAGTTCACATGACCCACACCTGCCACAGCTGAAGATGAGTGTCAGGATGTGAGGCTCTCTCCCAAGACTGCTGGTGCCAGCTTTCATGTCCTCTGTCCCAACCAGACCATTCCCCAAAAGGCTGGCATTTGAGCCTGCAGCATTGGTGACATAATCAGAGTCTGCAGTACTTCCTAGTTTGTATTGTGTTGGTGCAGGTGGGTGGGACAGAAGGATGTCCTGAATGTTTATGACAGGCTACTTAGTGTTCAGCTAATGATGTTCTTATTTGGGAGTACTTACTGAGTGTCATGCTATAAAGTCTTACTAGTCCAAATTCAAAAAATAATCCCAAAAACGATGGGAAAGAATACTGTATTGTTGGTTTTACATTGAAAAGTACTTTAGCAAACTGTGGTCATAGTTCCTAATCAGTCTCAGAACTTTCCCTCAGGGTGAAATAATGAGTTAAGTCCTATAATGGCAATTTAATTCATTCATTTAGCCAAAGCAATGCTTGCTAGGTATCGCAGAATGGCTGCAGGAATTTGCAGAATGTTTGCCCAGTCACTCTCCAGGTGTAAACCATTGTACAGGTGGATGGGGCCCTGAGTTTTTTGGCAGGCTAAGTAAAACTCAGTTGTTTTCTAATGTCAAACATCAAGAAAATTGTTCCCTTTTAGAGCCCACTTACTTTTATGTGCCTCATTCACTTTACTCAAAGTCACCTTTATTTAGTGATGTGTTCATTGAGGTAACTTTGAAAGATATGAGTGGGACCTCTTTCTTATTCTATATGAAATGTGTCTGTAGCAGGTGTCCCCTGAGGCAGCTCGTGGAACCCAAGCAGCCAGCTGGCCCGGCTTTCGTACTGTGACCCAGCATAGTTCATGCATCAAGAACATAGGTGTCGTTGGCAGACTCTGGGTCCTGAGTCCTCACTTTTCTTCTCTGGATGACCTGAGACGGGAGTACTTCATCATGCCTTATTTTCTACTCTTTGTAAAACTTAGCGAAAGATGGGTAGATTAAAAACAGGCTTTCTACAGAAAGATATCACCAGTGGACTTGTGTCCGTTAAACCAGACTAGGAGCCCTCTCACAAAGCCCAGCTAGCTGACCAGTAACGGGAAGATGGCCGAGGGAGCCGTTGCTGATCACACTGTGCTCCACCTGAGCACTTCCCCCCGTGTGTGTTACTACCCTCATCCAGGAGAAGGAGTGCAGGCCCCTCTGCAGTTAGCCGGAGACCCCTGTTCATGGTCACCTGATCTCAGGCCCCAGATCTTTGGGGTGATGCTGGGAAAGCAGAGGTGGTGGGGCACACCTGTAATCTCAGCACTTGTGAGGTGAAGGCCAGGAGAGCCTCAAATACAGAGTTGTAAGCCAGCATGGGATACATATGAGCCCATCCAAGAGAAAAAGGATGCTGCTGCATGCCAGCCATTCTTCACTGTGACAGATATATCTGAGATAAGCTATTCAAGGTAGGAAAGCACATGGTTTCGGGGGTGCAGGCCGTGGTCAGTGGGTCCGTTAGCTCCGGGCCTATGGTGAGATAGCATCATGGTAGAAGGGCCTGGTGGGAAAGAGCTGCTCATCTTACAGCTGCCCCAAGGACATGCCCCTGTTGACCTACTTCTGCCAGCTGGACCCGTCCTCAGCTACATCCCTCATCATTCTGAATCAGTCACTGAATAATTAATGATCCAGTAACCTCTCAATGGCTGGATGTGCCAGCTGGAAACCAACTCTTCATTCAACCATGAGCCTTTTCAGGAGAGAATTGATATCCAAACATAGCACATTAAGTGATAAGTATCTCTTAGACTGTGGTCACATTGCATCTCTGGGCATCTAGACATCCTGCTGTGGTGCTGACCACAGAGACCAGGACTTTGGTTCAGCACTGTGCCTGGCCAAGTCCCTGCTTAAGTGAGGAAGCAGCATGGCTGCATAGTTAGACTGACCTAGAATGGACTGTGTGCATTTCTCAGAGCCTGACAGAGTGAAACAGCCAAGGGCCACAGCTGCCCTGTTGAGTGTGAGGTCAGAAGGGACTGTCCGGCACCTCACCGCTCACCTCACCTGTCTGGAGTCTGTCTCCCGAGAGTATTCATGTAGACAGCACGCATGTTTTAATGACCTCACTGTCTAAGGCCTTTTGTCCCCTTTTTGGTGACAGAGGCTGAAGGACAGTGATTAGATTACTCACCTACCTGAAGACATAAAGCTTCACAGGAGAAGGAGCTGGAATTCCAGCTGTGACTACACCTCGGTCAGGAAAGTATAAGGCTCATAACTGTCCACAAAAAACTGATGGCCATTGAGAAGCTGTTGACTAGCTAGGGCCACCCAACCATTTTCATGGGGCTTCACATGGGTTTTCATACCAATGGGGTATATGAGCCCTTGCCCCTGTCCAACCTTTGGGGCAGGCTGGCCATTCAGAAAACCACCATGAAGCCAGTGCCAGTGGACATCCACGCCTGGACCCGCTAGACTTCAGAAAGTGGTGCTTAGAGCAATGGTCCTCAACCTGTGGGTCACAACCCTTTGGGGATTGAATAACTCTTTCACAGGGGTCACCTAAGACCACAGGAAAACACAGATATTTACATTATGATCCATAACAGTACTAAATTACAGTTAGGAAGTAGCAATGAAAATAATTTTCTGGTTGGGGGTCCCCATACCACGAGGAACTGTATTAGAGGGTCACAGCATCAGGAAGGTTGGGAAGCACTGGCTTAGGGGAAGAGGGTTTTGGAGGCTTTGACCGTTTCTTTGTTTTTGTGAACTCCATTTCATTCTGACCTGCCCTGCAGTGGAGCTGCCCTCACCGAGGCTCCCGACCACTGTCAGCCCTCTCTCTCTCTCTTCACCCTCACCACAGGGATGGCTTGAGGCATCTGCTCTTCTCTTTGAGAGGCTGCCTGTTTCTGAGATGGCATACAGAACCCCTGGGCTCAGGGGAACCAGAACCAGAGCCTGGCCCTGGAGCCCATGTGACACTTCAGAAGTAACAGCTGCTGAGGCTTAGAGAGGCAGTACAGCCCTGTACCTCCTGTCTGGACCGGAGGAAACCAGGAACAACGCCGGACAACATCCCAGTAATAAGTCACCTAGACTCGTAGTTAATTGTGTTTAGGAACAGTTTCAAAGTAACTAAGAACAAGATTTAAAAGGGCAGGACCATATTTTATCATTAGCGGGGGGAAAAAAAAAAAAAAAAAAGAAAGAAAATATCTCTCTGGAAAACAAGCCTACCCATACCTGAAGGGATTAGTGCAGGTAAATTAGCACCTACAGCTGAAGGAATTACTCATTCTCAGGAAACACTGGCCTCCTAAGTCATTGCTGAGCGACAGTCAACAGCTGACACTTTCTGGCTCAAAAGTGAAGGTTTTATTCTCTTACTGGTCTCTTTGATGCCTAATGTAAAGAGCCATTAGCAATGCTGTGGCCAGGCTACAAGGCAACCTGCTATGGCTCAGGAGTCGTGCTGGGAACTACCCCACCCACCTGTGCCCTGTGGAAGTGGCAGAGACTGCCATCGCAGAGGTGGGCAGTGGCCAGATCACATCTACTCTAGGCCTCTTCTGCCGGGCCAGGCAAGGCCAACAGGGAAAGGATGGGGTAGACTTGGTACTTACTCTGAAAAATACAGTAGTGCATACCTCTAGCCAGTAGGGCAGCCCTAGTGCTGTCACACAAGATTCCCAAAGTTCACAGGACTGTCCTTGTCACAGGCCAAGTAGCCTGCCACCTCTACTGCACAGTCTTTCACACACCAAGTTCTCTGTCTAAAGATGTTGCCACTAGGGCTAGGTGGCGGCCCTGGGCTGCTGGCAGAAAGGGTGTCTGGGAGCTGCTGAGCCTGCCTTCCTCTGTCCAGCAGCTGGGATCAGCTGCTTCTGGGTGCAGCTGGGGGAGGGACTCTGCAAGCCACTGCAGCTCGGCTGGTCTTTGGGTAGACTAGCATTTTCTTCCTCGAGTCTGGTATTTTCCAGAGAATCTTCTGACAGTGCCCTGTGCTGACCACTGGGACTGGGCAGTGATCCTTAAAAGGCGGGTGGAAGGCCAGAGGCTCCTTATAGCCCCCTCCTTGAGCTCCACTTGATGTCATTCTGAGTGTATGTGTTTCTTTGCAGTTTGAACAAGAAAATCAGCGACTCATTGGTGAAATGAACAGCTTATTTGACGAAGTGAGGTGTGTATATAGCTAATATCTTGACGGCAACTTTTCCAGACACTGCGGGCTTTTTCCATTTGCTTTGGCACCCAAGCACCCATATGTAACTGGGTGGGCCTGGCTGGGCTTGTGGCAGGAGAGACTGGCTGCTACAGCAGGCTTATGGGTACTGCAGCATGCAGAAAGACAGGCACCCCGAAAGTGGGACCACACCCACCACCTCAGGGGTCCTTGGGTGGAGTAGCTGTAAAATATAGTAGAGCCCTTGTGACAGGTGTTGGCACGAGTAGTGTCTGCTTCCAGGTGACCAGGCTCACGCTCACTTGTCTGGAGCCTCCAGTGAGCTCACTCAAGGGCCTTTGTCCCCCAGGAGTGCTGCTGTGCTCTATTGTATTCGGGGTACACCCCCTCCCAGGCTAGGGACTTACTCTGGGCAGGGCTACTCCCCTTGGAGAGCCCAGGGGGTTTTGTCCCAAAGGTGCCTCTCCAAGGCCTCCCTCTTCCCAGCCTAGCTGTCCTTGTCCTCACCCACCTTGCTATTCCTTCCCCAAGACCTGAGACTGCTCCTTCCCTGTATCCTGCCTGCCTTTCTCCTCCTGCCACTGCCTGATCACCAGCTGTGCTGGAGCAGTTCATTCAGCCTGAGCCAGCTTCCACTTCAGACCTGTACAGCCCCAGTCCACCCCAGGGTGCCCTAGGCTGCAGGAAGCGGGGAAAAGGGCTCACCCAGTGTTTCAAGTTGGGCAAGTGCTTAGGTGCTAAACCAGATGGGGTGACCACTGACTGAACTGGGGCGTTTTCTTGCCACAAGGAGCTGGCTTGAGAGGGAAACGTTCCAAGTGACCATGCCTTTTGATTCTCTAGCATGCATCAGGCAGTAACTGGGCTATGCCGAGGACGTCCTGGGCCTGCCCAGCTCCTCTCCCCGTCTGGAGTGGCTGCCCATCTTCTGTTGTTCTCACCTTTATGGTTCCTTCAGGAACGTAGACCATTCCTCTTAAATTACCAGGAGCTAATAACTAACATGTCAACTATTGATTCTTTTTCGAAGGCAAATCGAAGGGAAAGTCGTTGAAATTTCCAGACTCCAAGAGATATTCACCGAAAAGGTTTTGCAACAGGTAAGAAGGCCCAAAGGCCCAGCAGTTTTGAGTTTTGGCTTAGAATTGACTGAGAGCTTAGAACCCTCTTCCAGAAGCATCTGAGTGGTGCAGATTAGGCAGCATCATGTTTGGTTAGCCAGTCACACCACGCAGAGGTCCCAGGTAAAGCTTCCTGTCACCCCACAGCATCCCTCTGCTACAGCTGAGGGCTCTATCTGGGGACCCAGCGTAGAGCAGAATGGCCCCTGTGAGCTAGAGTATTTGGTGGTAGTAGGAGGGTGCAGTCCAGGACTGGGAGTCAGGCAGCCCCTCCACACCATTGCTCCCCATCTGTAGAAAGGGGTGAGACTGAGGGCTGCTGTTATGTTCACAAATCAGCACAGACGAGCCCTGCACAGTGCAGAATGGAGAGCTGCTTTTTTTGGTCCACAGTGCTCCAGAAACTAGATCGTCTCGGCCAGTCCATGCTGCCTCAGGAACACAGTCTGATGGATAGGACTGGTCCAGGGGACCTTAGGACTTTAGCACCCAGGGACTGTAGAAGACTTTCAGAAAAAGACACCTCTCTCTGTCTCTGGGCTGTTGGCTCACTCACAAAACAAGTTCCTGAACCTCACAACAGAGTTGAATCAACATGCACACGGTAGAAGCTAAGGACAGTTAGGAGTTCAAGGTCATGAAAGTAAGATACTCTTCACAGAGTTCTTAAAGATCTACCCAAGCCATGTATGTGGAGGCCATGAAGCCTGGAGACAGGCTTTGTGCAGACACCTTGGCCTGATGGCCATGTCAGCTGCACGACACAGGAAGCCATCAAAGTAAGCTCCTCCTGGCGTAGCAGCTTGTTTTGAGGAGAGCTCACCTTGACCGAAACACCCAGCTTGCAGGGTGATCAGACTTCAGTCTGGACGCTCCACCCTGCATGCCGTGGCCAGTGCTTCTCCTAAGCCCCACTCCCTGTCTGGAGCAGAACTGGTGAGCCCTGCCTCACTCTCAGAACCAGTGAGCAGGACCACTGGCCCATGGCAGGCCTTTTAGTGGGACTCTGACCAAGCCAGGGAGTGCCCTGCTGTAGTAACCCAGCATGCCACTGGACTCCGCCCTTTCCCTGGTGCTCAGTGACACCCCTGACCGGCCACATGTAGGTTAGGGAGTCATGGTCTCTTAGGCTCCAGTACTCAGCCTTCTAGCACGAGAGGCCGGCTGCCACAGCAGTGACCGCACCAGAGGCCTGGGCAACCCGCCCCACTGAGAGAAGAGAGCTGCCCCTGGGGAGGTGGCATGCTTTAGGGGTTGCTTGGTATCCCTCTAGAGTCCAGCCAAGGGCTTTGTGGACTGCTGGAGCCTCAAAAACATTGTTTATATCAGTGTTGGGGGCTGTTTATGGCAAACCCCTCTGCGCCCGGCCTGATATTCTCCACCAGGGTGTCACTACCCATGTGTCCTGGTCCATGCATGGGCCCTCCAGTGATGTCACTGTTAGGAACTGGGTGGGTGAAGCCTGCTTTCCATTCTGCAGCATTCTATCAGGCAGGGCTCCCTAAAAGCCCACATTAGGGCACACCTCCCCGGCCTGCAGCAGGGAGATCAAAGGCAGCCCCACATGGCTGGTGTTTTAGGGTCTCCAACAGTGTGGTCTCATGAGCCAGGACCAGCACTCTCACTTCCATGTTCCCAGCATCTGCCCAGGGCATTTGCGGCCAGCAGTTCATATCTTGTCGGAACTCTTACCCCTTCAACAGTTTGTTAAAGCATGCTGTTTGGGTAGCTAGTGTGTTTCAGAGTCTGTAACATTTATAGCTGGCTTCTAGACCTTATAAAGAATAAATGGAATGCACGAAGAGGGCCCTTGGTGGGAGTGGCCAGTCCAGAATCAGCAGGTCATGTTTGTCCTTATCACTTGACAAGTGACACACGAGAAGTGATAGGTGGCGCCAGTGCAGGCTCTATGGCCCGACAAGAGCCTTACCCTAGTCCTGCCCCTCTGGTACTGTGTGGTCTCCTAGAAGCTAGTGAACATCTCCGAGCTGTGAGTTTCCCTTTCTTTGTGTTGGGCGATACCCACGTTCAGGCGAGGGTTCCCAGGCTGTGTAGGTACAGCCTCTAGAGCTTGAAACATGGCAGCAACTACTTGCAGAAGGCTATCTTCTTGGTGGAGGGGAGAATGGTTGGGCTTATCTGACACTCTTCTTACAGGAGACTGAAATTGACAGCATTCACCAGTTAGTTGTGGGGGCAACTGAAAACATCAAGGAAGGCAACGAAGACATACGAGAGGTGGGTACCTGGGGCTCCCAGGTCAGAGTTGGCACAGCACTGTTTCCCAGCACCCCAAGGCTCACTGGTGAGGCTGTCCAAGTGCACTGTGTAGCACTCAGGGCCCATCCTGCAGCTCTAGTCATGGGTTTATGGTCAGGGCCACCCTAAGTGCATGTGTTCATAGACCTGCTGGCTTACTTTCAGCTCATCTTCAAGAGAAAGTAGTTCTGGCCCTGCAAGAACAGTGTGGGTGGAGAGCATCCAAGTAGGGCCAGGACAGCCTGAAGCCAAGGATAAGCCCACTGAGGGCAAAAGCCAGAAGCTGGAGGGCACCCGGCCCTGTGAGCCAGCTGTCTCTAAAGCCCAGACCTCCTGGCTGGCCCATCACCACAGACAAGAACATCCCGGGGAAACCTGAGCCCTGGTTCAGACCTGGGGAGCAAGTCCCAGGAGGCTAGGCTCTGCCCAACAGAAGAGGATGGAAGGCAAGGGCCGGGTGGGTAACGGTGCTTGCTTCCAATCAGGATGACCTAGTCTTGATTCCTGAAATCCACATGGTACAAGCACAGAGTTAACTGTGGCCCTCCACCCCACACACACCGTGACATACCCCCCCCCACAGAGATAAATGTAATCTCAAAAATGAAATGCAAGGTCTCCATGCATGGTGGCTTTTGTTCTCACTTAAGCCATCGATCTAAGGAGAGCATGGGATTCATGGAGGTGTACGCGAAAGAGTGGGACACTTAGGGCTTCCGAAACCAGTCCCGGGTGGGGCTGACACCTGTGTTCTTCCTACCAGGCCATCAAAAACAACGCCGGCTTCCGAGTGTGGATCCTCTTCTTCCTCGTGATGTGTTCCTTCTCCTTGCTCTTCCTTGACTGGTACGACAGCTAGCCCACGAGGGCTGCACCTGTGTCTGCCCTGCTGTCCCAGACACACACACCACGTGCCAGCAGGTGTCTCTTCTGTTGTGTAGCTGTGTAAGGTCCAAGGGCTGGGGAGACATGGCCCCCAAGCCAACCTTCGAAACCTGCCAGGACCTGGAATTGCATGGACTGAAAGTGCCCGAGGCGGTCTTCGGGGGCAGAGGATAAAGGGGCGAGGCAGTCAGGAGTGGCACCTCCTGGAGGGCCACAAGTATGACAGGGCTGAGCAGGACAGGGAGGGATATGGCACACCTGCTGTCCCCGTTACAATGCTTGGGGCCTCGTCTCCTGCCCTTCCCACACCAGTAGCTTCAGGGGAGAACATGCCTAATGTTTCTAAAGTCATTGGTTCTTACTTCCTCGTGGCGTCTCATGTGTGCTGATACGTGGCCATTTTGTCAGAGAAAACAATTCACATCTGCCTTGTCAAGCTAATAAATGCAATTACAGCCACTTATTGCAGTCAGTGAGTCTCCACTGAGCAGCTCTGGCTGCCACCTGGCTGGACAGGCAGACTCTGGTGCCCGCCACTAGACCTCTTTCCTGCCCTGGCCCCCAGCATGTGAACAGCAAAGCAGGGCCCAGGGCATGTGAAGCCTGGTTTCCTGCCTCTGGGTCCTAGAGGCTCGTGTTCCAGGAAGGGTGTGGATTCAGAAGAGCGGGCCTTCTGCCCTTGTTCCTGCATATCTGCCCCTCTAGAAGAGGCCACGGGGTTGCCTATGGAGAGCTGGAAGCGTGCAGCACACGGCCTGCATCTGTGCACAGATTTATCCTGGTGTCACCCAATTCCTGCTGAAGCGCTTGAGTACAGACAGTCCAGTGTGCGGCTCAGGCGCCCACGAGCTCTTTATTTGCTGAGTGAACATGAGAAGTTACATCGGGGGATTGACAGTGGGTGAGGTGCTGCTGCTGCTGCTGCTGCTTCTGCTGCTAGAAAACACAGTGGGGCTTGTCTGCTGCACTCCCATGGTCGCTGAGTCAGATCCTGTGCAGGACAAGCTTTGGCACGTTTATTGCTCTTCATGCATTCCTCACAGCTTCCCAACGCCCTTCAAACATGTGACTGTGTGGACCCCCCCACCCCACCCCTGTGCTGAGCTCATGGTCTTTGTTTGGGAACACTCCAACAGTAAAGTATTTTGTCTCAGTAGCACACCTCAGGAAACAACAGTGTAGCTGACGGTGGTCACCATGCTTGTTCACAAAGGATCTCCAACTATTTGCCGTTTATTTCTGACCTACTAAGGAACACTGAAACTTCCGACATGCCCACCGGAAACCACACAGTCTGAGAACACGGAAGAAAACAACCACGGATAGCTTTTTCTATTTAATTGTCTTACACATTTAGTTTACCTACTGGTGATTTTGTAAACATATACTTTAATGTCAAGATTCAGATTGAAACATAAACATACTTTTCTTACAAAGATTGTGGACTCAAATATTCTCTTTGCAAGGTGCCACACCAGCCCCCCACCAGCCATCCTGCCCCTTTCTCACAGCACAGGAGTCACATCTGTTCACAGATTAAAAGCTAAGTAGCCTTGGCTTACCCAAAATTACATTTTCACTTTGCCCACCCAGCTAATAAAACGAAGAACCAAAATCACCTGCATTACAGGGCTGTACGTGCAAACATATTCATAACAGGAAAGAAAAGGGCCGGTGGGGTTTCTTCCTATCTAGCACATCACCAGCAGACAGCCCACCCACAGGAAAACAGGCTCTGCAACCCTTGGCCCAGAGCCAGCTCCTCCCACCCCATCCTTGTACTCTGCTCAGTGCACATACCAAAGAGAACCTCCCGGAACTGCCCTGGCAGGGGCTGCCGGGGCTGCATTGTATCGCACACTTCCCTTCTCTGTGCCACTTACCAGCGCATTTTGGCAGTCGGCACTGCTGCCAGCAAAGCACGGGATCGCTCTAGATATGGCTATGGAGCAAGGTCTGCAGATAGCAAAGGGGCATCAAAGAAAAAAGAAACCCACTGAACACACTGCTCTGATGGCCAGACCCCGGGCATAGCCAGTGTCAATTCTCTTTTGACGGCATCCAGTGAATCCCAGTGAAGGAGCTGAATGAAGACTCCTCAGCATGGACAGTGGCCTCAAGCTCTCTAAGCAATGCTGAAATGCGCTGGTTTCTATGCCTGTGGGTGGTCCGCAGCGAGTTTTATTTGCAAAGCAGCATTAGCAAACAGAAGCAATTGCACCGTAAATGAGTAACCTCTAAATTATCGGTAATTATATTTAATGAAATGTCCCTCAAAGTCCCTTTGTTGCCTTCAAGTGACGCGTTGTAAGGAACCCGCCCAGCTCGCTAAGCTGACTTCTCCGCAGCTTCGGTCTCCTGTTCCGACAGCTTCTCTTCTGACAGAACTGACATCCATGGTGACACGGAGCGTGTGATACTCTGCTTGGCCAGGTTGTAGTGGTTTATGACAGTGTAAAATTTCTCCCGGGCACTGGAGTCCTGCTCCGTGTAGTAGCTCTCCAAGCCTTCTGGAATGCACTGGGTGTTCTGTAAGACAGGAGGCCATGGAGATACAGGGGGTACCAGCGTGTGTCTGCAGTGGATTCCGCCCCCCCCCCCTGCAATGGCCCCTAAGCATCCCTGAGCTTGCAGGAATAAATGCTAAATAAACACTAACAATGGACAGATGAATGGGGCCTGCCCTGCGAGGGCACAGCCGTCTAAAAGATGGGCTGTGCTGTAACGGGCACTGGGCTCCCAGGTTAGGTGGAATAGGCAGCGTGCCTCCCTTCCCCAAGTCTCTAATTGGCTGATTGACCTTGGCTATTCATCTATTAGAAGCAAGGACACTTTTGACATGTCTACAGACAATCCACCTGAAATAAGAGGAAGAGCACCAAGGAGGGCTTTCTTTGGGGGCCAGTGAATTGGCTCAGTGGGTAAAGATGTTGCCAACACTAGTTCAGTCCCCAGGACCTGCATGGTAGGAGAGAACCAGCTATTGCAAGTTATCCTCTGAGCTGAGCTGTGCAGCTGGCATGGCAGCCGGTGACTAACCTGCCTAGAGCCCTCGAAGGCCGTGACTAACCTCAAACCAAGAGAATCTGAACGGTTGTATCAAGCAGCTTTGGGGCTGGCTCCCAGAGAGCAGCTGTGTCCCTCCAGTGTCCACATCTCCCGTTCTCAACCGGCTCGGACGGCCCAGAGAACAAAACCTCAAGAGCCCCGGGGCAGGGAAAGATGGAGCCAGAGCTCCAGGTGAGTGAGTCCCTGCACTGCCTTCCAGTCTAGACTCTGAGACCAGCAGTAAGCTTCCCACCCTGTTGAAGCGACTGTTACTCATGTCTAGCCACCAGGGGCATGGTATCACCAAGCCTGCTGAGATAGGAACGTGAGACCCCACAGTTGAGTCAGAGGTGGAGCCCTCAGTGACCACCCATTCATTATCTGGTAGTTTTAAACCCATATACTCATCTCTGGGTGCAGCCCAGAGTGGCTTAGCAGATCTGTGCTGAGTCCATATCTGTATTTCAAGTGTCTCCCTGAGGAGTGTGAGTCCAGCATCCCAGCCAAGGCCACAGTCCAAGACCCACTCCTGTTAGAAGAGAGCCCTTCCGGTTTTCACCATATGACACAATGCTCAGTTGTTCTCTTGGATGACCTAGTGTCTCCATCCTCAACCCCAGGGTAGCTCTCCAGTGTATGGGCAGGCAGCCCAAGAAATCAGGGAGGAGGAGCTCCTGGGAACTTCCTCTAGACTAAGTCTGAACGCCAAGGGCAGGTTCAGGGCAATCCAATTGGGTTCCCTACCCTAGAGAATGTCCTGTGGCTCTCAAGCCTTCTTCCCTCCCTCTTGCCCTGAAAGAAGGGGACAGCAGTGTGCACCCACATGCAGGCTTCCCTCTTGCCTACGCCAGGTCTGTACTTTTCAGGCCAATTCTGTCACTGTGAGGTTCGTGCCACTCAGTCCATTTTATAGGTGGGAAAGTGGAGTCCAGAGAGGTGAAGAAGCTTGCTGAAGCAGATTTGAGAACCACACAAGCATGAGAACACAGTTCCAGCTGGGACCTCCAGTCAGCGTTGTCCACCACCACACACTGGGCTACCCTTCCAGGGGGTTGATCCCTCATTCCCCACCCAGCTCAAGGACATACAGACTATGAAACAGACCTTTTCACTGTCTCTACCCCGAGGACAATGGGTCCAACTTGGTGTTTTCCAGTATCAGCCACTGGCATGTATGGTCCAGATAGTACTATGAAGTCCCTGCCTTGGCACACATGGCCTCAGGAATGCAGGACAACTCGGCTTAACCACCTGTGCTTCCTGGTTTTGCAGCTACCATCCTGCCACCCCTCACAACCCTGAGGTGGAGGTACAGCACTCAGGGAGGCTCGGACCTGCACAGTGGGAGCATGAGAGGATGGCACTCCTGTAATCCCTGGTGCCAGGTTCAGGGGGAGACGCTTTCCCAAAAGAGGAAGGGGAGAAGTAATTGAGGAAGACAGGATGTTGACCTGGCCTCCCAGGTGTTCGTTCTTACTCAGCCAAAGGCCACTGCAGCAGGGATGTACTCTCACCCTCTGAACCCTGCCTCGCTTGACATTGCTCTGCTGCTGCTGCTGCTGCTGCTGCTGCTGCTGCTGCTGCTACTGCTGCTGCTTGGTGTAACAGGGCTGAGCATCAAGTACGCTGATAGAGAAAGGAGGCTGGAGCATGGAGAGTAGCCAGGTGGGCAGATCTGGAAGCTACTAGGGGGCAGGGTCCTGCTCTTTCAGAGTGAGCCCTCTCTCCTAAGGACCCCTCCCACACAGAGCCTGCTACAGGTACAGGGCCCGGACTGTGGGGAGTGGTCAGCAGGTGGTTAAGAACCTAGCACAGCCTAAGCCATGGGTGCTGGTTAACTTAGCCCTACTGGTCACTCAGCAGGGTCAGCTGGCCTCTCCAGGAGGGGAGGATGGCGGTAAATAAAGCATCCTGGTGGAGCAGCCCCCATGCAGGGCTTGCGGTCCTCACTGTGGGGTCTAGGAAGGTGATGAATGCTAAGACGAGAACGGCGCAGTGCAGGGCCCAGTGAGCACTCGGGAGCCTGTGCAAATACGAACAGTGGCTCGATCCTCATCTTCTTTTCTGGGCTGCCACCCCTGTTCCTCTCCTCAGAAGCGCCTCCATCACTGGTGAGGTAGCTAACGATGTAAAGGATCAGCCCTTGCCTGTGGAGACTGGGGTCTCCTTAGCAGCTCACTAGATCCTGAAGTGTAAAGCTTAGAAACACCAGCAGGCTCCCGGGAGTGCTGACAGCTAGTTCAGAAGAGGCCCCAAAGCAATGGAGGGTGCTTATGCTACCCTGCCCTTGGTGCAGCCCCTCAGGGGATATCCCTGGCTGCAGACAAAGCCTGGCTTTAGGGCCAGGCCCCAGCCCCAGCTGAGATCCCATGAGCTCTTCTCAGAGCCTTAGTCCCCTCATCTTTAAAATG